AAAAAAAAAAAAAAAAAAAAAAAAAAAAAAAAAAAAGCAGATCAGCTGCTGTTTTGTAATTTGATTTAAACAAAGTAACTTCTATTCAGTTGTAGACCTTGATTTAGTGGATCTATGGTCATCACGTATCATAACTGTATCTTTTTTGTTACCTGAAATTAAAATGTAATTATCCTGATGTAGGTGATTAATCATCGGTATTATGTACATTATCCTCCTCCCACCCTCGCCGAAGGCCAAGGCTAGGCTGAGCATAGCTTTTAGCATATTGTAGCAACTTATCACTTGCAATCCGTCCCTAAAATTTTTAGATCATATGCTAGTCGTGAAAAATATGGAGAATGTAAAGATTTTATGCATTCAGTCAAAAACGCCAGATCTAAAATCAGTTAGTTAATTTCCTGCCATCTTTCAAGTTGACCAAAGCACTCACTGATTTGCTCTATTTTCTTACGTTTTTAGTATTTCTGTATATACACGCACTGAAAAGCCCCACTTGGAAGAAAAATTCACTGCAATTCGGAGAAAAAGCTTATCCTAAACATCTAAAGATAGCGTTTCTAATTATTGTCGACATTGTGTTTAAACTGTGCAAACTGGAGCATTATTCTCACTTTACCAGCTGCGTCTAGGTAGAGTCATTACATCAAACGCTTCTAATTTTACAAAAAGAAATCAAAACAAGTGTGTGTTTAAGTCTCAGTGACAAACGCAAACCCTGTGAGTCAAATAGGCAAACTGATTAGCAAGCTGGCTGGGAAGTCAAAACAGCAAATATAAGATTAACAAAATAGATCTGTAAGAGGAGAGGAGTAAAAATAGCCTCCAGGGACCAAATGGGGTCCTGTGGGCGGGTCTGGTGGCACACATCCGGTTCTGTTGGGGGGCCAGATGCCTGCCCTTATGGGCACCAGTCTTTCCTTCATCTTGGCCCCTCCCCGCAAGAGTTGGGATCACAGAACTCATCTCAGCCGGCCTCTTAATGGTGCGGAAATCCTTCTTCCAAACCGAAGAGGTAGCAGCCTTGCCTTTACTTGAATCTTTCTAGTGACACGACACTCACTACCTTTCAAGGTCATCCAGTCCATGACTAGGTAGCTATTTTTGACCTCAGCCATTCATTAGATCCTTAGGCCTTCACACTACGCTATACACCTCTCATGAGTAACTCTTGATTTAATCTTCACAACAGTCCAATGCGATAGTCTTATTTTACAGATGAGAGAGCTCAGGCCCAGAGAGGTGAAGTGACTTGCTCAGGTCACACAGCTTATAAGTGTGGCTGAGCTGAGGTTCCAAACAGGCCTTTCTACCTCAGCCTAAACTTTCAGCCCCTGTGCTATACACATTCCTGGCCCTTACAGTGAACTGTAACTTGCCCCTCTATTATTCCCTCTCTTCGTTTCTTGGCTCTGGAGCCCCACGGAATAGTTTATCAACCCCATTCCCATGAATGGACACGACAGAAATGAAGCAGATCTGCGAGGGTATTTCTTCAGACTCGGGGGGCGGGGGGTCAAGGGTAGTGAAGAGAGAAACTAAAAACAGAAGGTGCTGTGGTCTGAATGTTTGTGTTCCCCCCAAAATTCATATGTTGAAATCCTAACCCCCAAATATGATGGTATTAGAAGGTGAGACCTTTGGTAGTGGGTCCCAAAGTCATGAAGGGGGAGCCCTCATGAATGAGATTGCTGCCTTAAAAAAGGCTTGAAAGAGATCCCTCATCCCTTCTACCACGTGATAACACTGCAAAAAGGTACGGGCTATGAGTCCCAAAGAGGGCTCTCACTGACGATGCTGGTGTCCTGATCTTGGACTCCCAGTCTCCAGAGCTGTGAGATAAATTTCTATTGTTTATAAGCTACCCAGTCTCCGGTATTTTGTGACAGCAGCCTGAACAGACCAAGACGGAAGACAAGCGATGAGAAGCACCAGCCTCCTTCTGAAAACTAAGTGCAAACTTCCCTTGATGATCCTGAATTAACCTATAATCTGGGCGGCAGAGTCGAAGATGGGGCGTTGGCTTTTTATTCCTATCCATCGTGTGTTCCTATGTAATTGCTGCCTTGTTTTCACAACTTTTAATTGCAGGGGTAGGCAAATGCCTCTATGTGAAATCAGGATATTTAAAGACTCAGTTTGCTGATTCCCTTTTCAGTGCTGACCCATACATTTCAAGTTAATATTTCAAACCATTACTGAACCAAACTTGGTACCGCTCGCCTGACATGCGGTAAAGCCAATCTACTGACACTGCCTCGTGGTGAGGGAAAGTACAGTGTTTTCTGCAAGGCACCCAACGTGGGACCAAGCAAGGAGAACGGGCAGTTCATGCTCAGAAGACCCAAAGGCCCTGATAGCTTTCAGGGAAGGGTTAAAGGCAAGGTGAGGGAGAGGGTCACAGGGTGCACGATCAGCTCGTGGATACCCTTCTGGTTGGTTGGTGATGAGGAAAGGGTGATGTTTCAGGAATCTCAGTCATCAACCTTCTGGTTCCAACCGGTCTGGGGTCTACGTGCTAGCGGTCAGCATGCTGTTAACCTCTTCCATCTGGTGAGGGTTTTAGTATCTGCAAAACAGCTCAAGGATATGGCTCAGGATATTCTCTATGGCACTTGAGGAGGAACTAAAGGTCCTTGACTTTGTTTTATAACTAGACTGTTATTGTCTTGCTTGACTGTTTTCCCTTTGTTTCTGCATTTTCTCACTTCTCTGATTAAATTTGCTCTCTGGAACCTGGGGAAGGCCTAGGAGGCTAGAGCTTTTATACAAACTCGTGTGTGTGTGTGTGTGTGTGTGTGTGTGTGTGTGTGTGTGTGTGTGTGTGGTGGCGGGGGGAGACACAAAGGGTCTGTCCCTGGGAAGGCCTCGCAGAGTCCTGGTCCGTTTCAAAACCAGTGAGAACCAGTTGGTGGAGCAAATTCACCAGGCAATAGCCTTTCTTCCCACTTGTCGCTTGGGCTCAAGGAAAGGGTTTTAAATAACAAGGTAGTCCTAGTAAGAGGTAAAAATAACCACTGGGGATGGCTTTCTGGCTAAGGTTCAGTTTGACTCACTGCCTTAAGAGTCTGGGAGAAACAGAAGCTGCCTCTGAGGAACCAGGGTGGGAAAGCCACAGCTAGGAAGTGGGTCTACCCCAGGATGGATACTACAGTAAATGAAAGTGAATACACAAGACTGATCTAGTCTGTGTATAGATTATAATTTTCACAAAGAGGGGCAGAACCTCCATCAAGCCTTAATTAAGACCAACCTGCCTTTGGATCCCACTGCTTCCAACTGCTTTTGTATCAAGAAGTCAAGAAGAGCATTGTCCTGGTTGTGGAGGAGGCTGGCAACTTTAGATACCAACACCGACCTCCCTATAACTTGCCCAGGGACACTGCCTCACTGGCCCTGTCTCCGCCATCTGGGAAATGGACCTCAGGCTTCCCACAGAGGCAGATGTGAGAGGCCACTGGGCCCAGTGAGTTGGTGTACCGCTCATGCCAGGCCAGTGGCTCCAGCAACAGAATCACTGGGAAGCTTGTTGCAAATAGATTTTCTCCTCTCCCTTTGGATTCTACAGCTCTGGCATGTGGCCCAGGAAGCTGTATTTTTTTCCGCATTTCCCTAAGTGATCCTGGTTTCCTCTCTCTTGCGGGCCACACCCCAAAGGCATGATGATCAGTGACTGAGCCTTGCAGCCAACAGAGCTGGGCAGAAGGAGAAGTCCTAAGAGGTTTGGGAAACATCTTTGCCATTCCCCAAAAAATAGCTGAGTGGGGAGAGAAGCCTCAAATAAACCAAAAAAGTAACCAAGGCCCCCATGCAGTACTGAATTGCTAAGTTTTTAATGTGCAACACGAAGACTGCCAAACAGCCCCCAAAGGAGCAGCTCTCTGGGGTGTGGGGTTGGGGGAATAGCTGGAGACACCGGGCAGGGGCGCCAGGCTGCACTGCACATGCTGGGGAGGGGGAGGGGGAGAGGCAACCTCAGGAGGGGTCTCAGACTGCCTAGGAGGAACCTAAAGGAGGTGGGAGTAGGTAGGTTCTTAGGGCATTGAGGGAATCTCAGGGCTCACAGGGTGAGGGCAGCATTGCCAGGGTGGAAAGGGGGGAGTCTGGAAGACCCTCAGGGTAAATGGGGATATTTCAGTATCTCTGGGGGTCCTCAGAGCTCAGGGTGCCCTCTGGATGAAAGGGGCTGTCTCAGTATACATGGTTTGAGACCTCAGGGTGAGGGGGATTTTCGGGGAGATCCTAGCCATGGCAAAAGTGGTACCTCAGAGTAGGGAGTGTCTCTGGGAGCAAAAGGAGAAAAATCAAGATGAGAGGGTGGGGACTTGGGTCACACGGAGGGGATCTTGGGCACTTGGAGAGGAGTCAGGGTGTAGAGGTGTCCCAGGGTTCTTGGAGTGGTGTCAAGGCATGGAGGGATCCTGGGCTATGTAGAAGGGGTCCTGGGTCACACGGAGGGGTGTCAGGGTGCTTGGAAGAGGTGTCACAGCACAGACAGATCCACGTAGAGGGGGCCCTGGGCCACATGGAGGGAATCTCGGGAGTTTGGAGAGGTGTCAGGCGTAGAGGGGTCTTGGGGTACTCGGAGGGGATCTCAGGCACTTGTAGGGGTGTCAGGGCGTGGAGGGGCTCCCAGGGCACATGGAATGGGTCTGGGGCGTGGAGGGAGCTCTCGGGGCGCCCGGGCGGGGGGCTCAGCTGGCCTTGCACTCGCTCTCTCGCCGCCGCTTCTTGCGCTCCGCGTGCTCCTGTGCCTGGCGCGCCCAGGGCCCCGGCCCGCACAGGCCCACCACGCAGCAGGCGAGCCGGCGGCCCGCGTTGCCGTTCTCCAGGCTGGCCTGGTTGCCACCGCGGCCCAGGTCGTCCTCGCCCTCGTGGATCACCACGGCGCGGCCCGCGATCGAGTGCGGGCCGAAGAGCGAGGCGACCAGGCCGGAGCGGTACTTCCAGATTTGGCCGTCGCGCACCACGAAGTTGCCGAAGTCGCCCGGGTGCTGCGGGTGCGGCACGGCCAGCGGATTGTAGTGCGCGCCGGTGGAGTCGCAGCCCTGGCTCAGGTCCCCGAACTGGTGCACGTGGATGGCGCGGTTGGTGCCGTTGGGCTCGGCCGGGAACCCCTCCAGGTGGAAGAAGGCCTCGAGCAAGGCGCCGGGCCGGAGCTGCCGGAAGAGCACGACACCGCTCACCTGGGGCTGCGCCGCGTCCAGCGTGGCCGACGGCAGCACCTGGCAGGTGGCGTGGAGCGCGGCGTCCTGGCCTCCGCCCGCCGCCCACCGCTGCGTCAGCTCCCGCCAGATCTCCGTCACTTTGGCGTGCATGTCGCGGATCTGCTCCTGCATGCGGGAGCCGGGCTGCTCCAGGTCCGGGTCGGCGGAGACTTCCGAGGTGCGGGATGTCAGGAGCAGGTAGGCACAGAGCAGCGCCAGCATGGCCGGAGTCGGGCACCTGCGGGCACCCCCAGGGGGTGGGGGCAGAGCTAGACTTAGTCACTGGAAACCTGGAATCCCAGGGACCCCGGTGTCCTTGAATCCAAACGTTTCCCGCCAAGGCGCTTCCTTGCCTAGGTGCTTTTTGTTCTTTCGGCCCCTGTCTCTTCGGGGCCTGCTGCGTTCCAGGAACTGTGTTAGGTGCTGTGGTTGTAAAGATGGATGGGACATAATCTCAAGAAACTCAGGAGGATCTTTCTGAGCCACAAATCTGATCACGGTCCTCCCAAGTCCCATCTCCATAGTGTGGGGAGTCCAGGACAATTGGCCCGGGGTGGGGGGGTTGTCTCAGGATACACGAGCGAGGCTCTCATGGCCCCTTCAGATGTCCTCCCTCTCCTTATTTCTGCCCCTCATCTTCTGCTGCTCCCTTTCTGCATCCTCTCTTACACAGGCAGCATAAGGCTTGCTGCCACACTTCTTGCACTTGCTGTGCCTTCTCTCTGAAAGTGCCCTATCCCTTCTTCTCTGCCATGCTCAGTAGACTAAAGCTAGAAACTCAGTTTTATTCATCAGTATCCGTAGCATCTGGGCCTGCACCTGGCAGTAGGACATGTTTAATATGTGAAGGTTGAATGAGGAGTTCACTGACAGACAGATGTGTCATCAGATCATTCCAATGCCATCCTGTAACTGAGGATGGAGCCTTGTTCTGGGGAAGGACAGAGTAAGGAGTGCCCATCTCCCCGGGAGACTCCAGGAGGGCTTCCCAGAGGAGGTGACTTTTAAGGGTCCCACAAGACAAGGAGGAGTTTTTCAGCCAAGCCAGGTCAGAAGTCCATTTCAGGCAGGAGGCACATGATGTGTTCACAGGCTGTGAAGGGACACAGTTCGTTTTGGGGATGGGGTAATTCAGTGTGGCTGGAACGTGGCCTGTGCCACCAGAGAGGAGTCGAGGCTGAAGAGGGAACGCTGAGCCAGGGGTGGAAGGGCTGGCTTTTCTGTACTAAGGTGTGCGGTTATCAGCCAGGAGGCTAGTGCTGGTGGAAGTTTTTAAGCAGAAAAGTGAGTGTTGAGACAGTTTTTAGTTCATTACGTCTGGCAGGAGAAAGCACGTGGGCTGGATTTGGGGAATGGAGAGGACAGGGAAGCAGGACAAGAAGAAATGGAGACACAGCGGAGAAATAGAGGTAGTCAGAGGGCGATGAGTTAGGAGGCAGTAGCAGCGATCCAGACCAGAAATGGTGAAAGCTTTTACCAAGGTGGAGGCAGCATGGATACAGGAGACATTTTGGGTACCACTGGCAGTGGGGAAGAGGAGTTGAGGATGACTGAGTTCCCAGCAGGGGAGACTGGGTGATGGATGGTGGTACCAGGCCCCGAGAAGAAGGGAGAAAGGGCAAGTTCAACCCGAGCCTGCTGAGATGCGAGATCCCAGGTGGGATGTTCAGCAGATGGTTGTAAATGGGGCTTCTGGCCTTTGTAAGAGGCAGTGTAACTGGGAGGGGTTCTCAGTGTTGGCTGCACATCAGATTCTGGTTCTTAAAATTCAGACACCCAGGCACCACCCTAAGGGATTCTGATTCAGTGGGCATGAATTGCTTTGTTTTGTTTAAAGCTTCATCAGAGATTCTGGGACCCAACCAGGAATTTTACGGTGAGACACATATACCATACTGCATAACCGCAATATCATGGGGGAAGTTACTGACTCTCTCTTAGCTGTAAAACAAGGCTGGTAAGACCACCAAGGGCCACCAGGAGGTGTAAAAGCGATATGAGATGCCAGGCTATTTTCACATTTTTCAGTCTGCCCACAGGGATCAATGTTGCCTCCAAAGAGCTGGTTTGAGGGTCAACTGCACTCTCAAAGGCCTTCTCCAACCCCCAAGCAGGTGCCATTTTAAAATTAAATTCTGGGGTTGAGTGTTTATTCTTTCCGTAACCATTACAGGAAGGCAGTCGAGTGTGGTGACTAAAAGAATGGATTCCGGAACTCACTGGGCCTGAAGCCTGACTCTGCCACTTTACTTACTCTTTAAGAGTTAGCATAATTGTTATTTTGGTTGCAGAGTAGCAGAGAAAATGCTGGACTGCAAACTCTAGTGGGGATCCCCCTCCTCTCTGAGCCTCAGTTTTCTTATCCGCAAATAGAGATAATAATACTTACCTTGGAGTCTTGCTGTGAGGCTTAAAAGACACAATTAGAATTGCCAGCATTTACTGACCACACTTGAAGGCACTGTTAAAAGCACTTAGCATGTGTTAATTCATTTAAGCCTCACAAAAACCCTCTGGGGTGGGTGCATTGTTATGCCCATTCTAAAGTGTAGGAAACTGAGGCACAGAAAGGCAGGTGTCTTGCCTGTGGTTACACATACAATAGTAGCTGAGGCAGGATTTGAAAAGGTGCGGTCTGCTCCAAGCCCAAGGTTTAGGCACCACACTGAACAGCTCTCATCAAGGCACTTAGCCCAGAGCCTGCTACATAGAAAATTCCCAGTAAATGGCAGCTCTTAGCTGTCAGAGAGAGACTGCTGATAGGGATTTCAGGACCATCAGCTGAAAGATGCTATTGCAGCCCTGGGAGGAGGAGGCGGCCAAGAAAGGCTCCAAGGAGGAGTGACAAGTAGGAGAAGTCCAGAAAGTGACATCAAAGGAACCCCCTCTGATGTGGCCTGGTTACTATGCTGAAGCCCCAGGGAGTGGGGGTGGGAATGGAGGAGCATCCCTGAGGCCAGACCTTGGCTTCAAGGTCTCCATCATCACCCACCACCCCTCTCCTTCTGAACCGGTCGTGGCCCTCAGGAGGGCTCTGCCGACTGGAAGTTACTTCCTTAAAAACATACAGCAAAGACAGATTGTTTTGGATGTGTCCACAGAGCTTTCTTTTCCAAGAATGCTTGGGTCATAATGAACACTTGAAGGAGATGTTTTTCTCTTAGAAAGAGAATTCTTCTTAAATCCCAGGTAAACCCTGACTCCTTGGGTCTTATTAAGCTTCTCACTCTAGCCCTCAAGGCCCGCCCGCATAAGGCTCACCCTTCTGGCTCAGTCTCTCACTCAGTTTGAGCTGTGGATGACCAAGTGGTTTTTGGAGGGCCCTCTTGGTCCAGAGGGGAGAACATAGTTATCAGAGACAGGGGACAAAGCAAGCCTCCGGGCCGGTGCCTCCTTCCTGGGTCTGGGTCTGGGAAGACTGCGGCCCCCCCGAGAAGGCTCCGGTGTGTTCTAATGCCTTGGCGCCCTCCGAGAAGGGGTCCCAGCTGTGCGCCTGAGGCAGCCGGGCCCTCCCTTTGTGCCTCCCCTAAGCAGGTGGCTTTTCCTCACCACCCATGCCAGGCAACATCCAGAAACATCCTCCTTCCTCGCTCCAGATTTCTTTTTCCTCTAACCCGGAGGACGCTGAGGTCCTCTTGGCCTGGCATTAGCAGATCCGAGAACAGTCAGTTTCTCCTCACCGGTTGCCTTCCTCACCCCTCTCCCTGCCTCCCCACTCCTCTGCTTTACAGCAGCTGGACTCTGTCAAGAAGCCTGTTTAGATAGCCAGTGGGAAGCAGCCACCTAGCACAGGGAGATCAGCTCGGTGCTTTGTGACCACCTGGAGGGGTGGGATAGGGAGGGTGGGAGGGAGGGAGACACAAGAGGGAGGAGATATGCCGACATATGTATGTATATAACTGATTCACTTTGCTATAAAGCAGAAACTAACACACCATCGTAAAGCAATTATACTCCGATAAAGATTAAAAAAAAGAAGAAAATGATCATATCCTTCTGGGAGAGGCTGGATGCCCCGCCCCAGTTTCAAACTCAGTAAGCACACTCCGAGAAGAATGAAATGAACCTAGGCTTCGCACTCACCTTTCCAGCTCTTCCAAGAGAGCTTTCCCTCCTGAGACCTGGCGAGCAGTACCCCGCCAGCCGCCAGCCGGTCGCAGGAACTCGGAGCGGGCTCCTGGGCTGTTCGTGGCCTCGCAGGGCAGCCTCGGGGGAGTGGTCACCGCGAGGAAAGAAAGTCATTGGGCCGGTTTAGGGAGGGAAGGCGGCTAGGCAGTCCTTGTTGTGGAATTGCCTCACCTCCTCCAGCTCTGTCACCTCCCCCCCCCCAGCCCTGCGTTCCCTAGCCAAGTATTCCTTTTCGTGACTTCACTGGTTTGTGCAGACGTAGCAAGTGACCTTCAGGGTGTAGCAGCGGAATAAAAAGTAGACCGAAAATAGCCTGTTTGCAGACGTGTACAATGGTCTCTTTCTTGAGAGGCCCTTTGCTCTCCCTGATTTCCTCAGCTATTGATTTATTTTTGCTGGATGCATCTAAGATGGAAACGGACGCCCGCAAAATATGCGTGATGTTTCCTCCAGAACTGTGCGGCCACACCTGTGAGAGGTGAGACGCAGGTGGGGACTCAGGCTGCAGAGTGTCAGCTGTGTCACTTCCTAAGGATGTGCTCCTGGACCAACTCCCTGTGCCTCTGTTTCATCATCTGTAAAATGGGGAGGCGAGGCTAACCCGATGCCCCAAACGTTATCACTCTCGTCCTGTTCTCGCTTCCTTATTAAAGTTATGGAAGAGTCTTTTAAAAGAGTGTGGTCTGAGGCACCCATGAATCTTTCCCCCCCTCAAGGCCCTTTCTTCCTTTGCGGCCATGATCTTTCCTCAATCGCAGCAGCTCTTTCCAAAAGGAGCTTTTTTCCCCAGAAAAGTCCACATGGGAAAAGGCAGCCTGCCTGTCTGCTTGTCTGCCTGCCAACCTTCCTTCAATAAATGCTTAGTGGGTGCTCGCTCCATTGTGTGCTGGTACCCAAACCTGGGAGAGTCCCTGCCCTTTGGGGTTCATACTCTGGGGAGGGAACAGCGGTGTCAACAGATCCATCCAGTACAGAGTGGGGACTGTAGCTGGGGAGGGATGGACAGAGTCTCTAAAGACCCAAACATTAGTCCTGGCCGCAGGACAGCTCGTTCAAAATCTAGACTTCCAGACACCATCGCAGGCTGAGTGCGA